GTCGCTTGCACGGTGTCTGTCCGCTAAAGCTATGGTAGGTGGGCTGAGTACAGTTCCCTCTTCGCTCGTCATGTATTTGTCGCAGCGATATTATCACACGTTCTTTATTTCCTTGTTTTGTGTGTCAGGCGAAGGCGGCATCGCTTCTATACGTTCTAGAAGTTTCGCCTCATAATTTTAGTGCGAGGTGGTAGTTTTACTCCCACCTTCGTATTGTCCCCGAGTTCGCTTATATTCCATTCCTGCCAGTAGTAACAGGCAAGTCTTGCAGTCATCACCCTGTTCAGGTGGAGTGCAATTTGTGCTCGGCCTGAAAAAAAACGTCATCATGGGCAGTGCCTGCCGCCCAAAACATAATGACAGGCAATCAAGCCAGCCAGATCAAGTGTAGGTAAATAAAAAGTTCTGTATTTATGGCGACTTCATCTTAGCACCCTAACACGCCTATGACCCAGTCATACAAGGGGACAGTATCATGATATAACCCATAAAGTTAAATAGACAGTGATCCCATTTAGTTGAAGACACACAAACACTTGACCTAAATAGTCACTAGAATGCACTTAACTCATCCTCTTAACTTAAAGGGCTAAGGGTCTACTCATACGTCGGGTACAATTTTGGATGATGAAGGCTGTCTACTCATCCTTCATCAGAATAATAATTGTACCCGTATGCGAGGATAAAAAATGAAAATGCGCCGTTAACTGAAAAAGTACTTTTCTTCTTGGCACTTCGTGGCATTTCTGTCCATGCACTTGGACGTAGACGATCTTGCGATTGTTCCCTTGAAAATCCTCTCGACTCCCTTATTGGCTTGGTCGCAGAGTTTGGCAACTCCAACCGCTTTGAGTTTTATCGTTTCTCATCGGCGCCCTGTTCATAGTGGTTGGCTTTAATAACTGACCGATTAGACCAACGTTTAGTGACGTAGTATATGGTAAGTCTAAAGGGAGCAAACACTTTATGCAGGTTACCAGCGTGCTTTTTTGAGTTACGGGTTTTGGTTAACACTGTCTACACTTAGATTGTCAAATTGTTAGCGCGCACACAGCGGCCTTTAGACGACAAAATGCCACTGGTTTCTAGTTAGGTTGGTAGAGCTACTAAGAATAGAAATAACGCCTCTTACCACAACTTTATTCTGCGAGTTATAGAGGTACCGTGCCGTCTAAAACAGTACTTTTAGCTACTGCTTAATTACTGGTCTTCTGCTGCTTCTGGTAGGCTGGCATTCAATAAGCATACTTTTTTTTAAGACGGTCCTATACCCTATCAGTTGAAGTTCGTCTAAAATTAATTTGGTCTGGTGTACTCTAAAACTTAAAATTTCATAACGTTATCATGTTTTTAGGCTGGCGGTTCATGTGCGTTGTCTCAAGCCGTGTCGGAAGCCTCCTCTCCTCCACCTCCGGAATTTATCGCGCACAGAGAGCGTCTGTGGCAGGAACTGAAGAAGAAATACGAGGCATTTGTTAAATCTCAAGCTCGGTCCCCCATTCAAATTACCCTTGCTGATGGCTCAACTGTTGACGGTAAGGCCTGGGAGACTCGACCGATAGACATCGCTCGGAACATCAGGTGAGCCGTTCATTCAGAAAGGATGTTGATCAGACCCTCTCCGAGTTCATGAAGCACGCGACCCAGCCACGTGTGACGTCACACTTAATTGTATTACTGAACTGCGGTGTCCCCGATCGGCCGTTTCGTTACAAACATGGCTTGTGGTCCATAATCTTAAATTGTATTGTTCTCCTGAGTGACCAACTTCCGTCGGCAGTGTGTGAGGACAAATATGCCTAGCCGTCGAACTAAGCAGATCTAACCGTAGCAAAACAACTACAGTACAGTTGGACAGTCGTCTTCTGTTGTGAACGGGATCTCTCTCCCAAGTGTTATCGTAAATTAATTATTATGGAGAACGAACACTGTGTAGAGTCACGGACTAAAGCGAAAGGAAGATCTAAACGCGCTGCGCAGCAGGCCAAACCAAACGCAGAATGCACTCATTGAATCAGTCTGTGCTGTCTTTGCTCGCATCCCATCGATTAGCCAGTCGAACTTTTGCGCAAGGAACGGCCAATTCACGACTGGTACGCCCTAGGCCGCGGTGTTCTACAACACTCTGGACAGCAAATATGTAAACCGAGTTTTGACAAGGTGTAAGCCGTGCCGCTGTCTCTTTCCTTCTCGCTCACTTACCTTTGAAGCCATACCGGACAAAAAGCCTGCTTCGTTCTTGATCATTCATGCCTCGTCGGCGAAGCAAGATTAGTTCAGAGTCGATTAAGCAGATGCTCATATAGTTCTTATCTCCTCCCTTTCAGTGACACTGACATTGAAATAGGAACATTTGTAGGTCTCTGATCCCCTAATGCCGTGTGAGGCATGTCGAACAGTCACGTCGGTGAGGGCGATAACGTTTACATGGTACTAAATAAACTCTGAAACTCAAATGTTCTGTGTTTTCAAAACGAGGACTGATTTCACATTGCAGCATATGACACGTCGTTCCTTACAGCTGACATGAGCCTGGACGCGTCCATTCCTGCGGAGAGAATTTGACACGCCATTAAGGCTAGATCAGTTGGTCAGCCATGGCAAAAAGGAGTTACCGAAGACGCCAGGTGCGTATCAGCGGAACTTAAATTTTAGTGTAGTTTCGTGGGTTTGGAAATTTAATTTTCCAGAAAGCTCTGAACGACTTCATGATAACCATGTCATTAAGCCGTCCAAACTGTGACATTTTAGACAATAGTTAGGTTCTCAGATCTCGTCCGTTCTTCTGCTGATAGCGCTGCCGTTGGTAGTCTATTGTTTTGATTATCCACGCACGAAGACCTACTTCTCATCCAGCTTTTGCCGAAGACTGTTCGACTAACCACCCCGTACCTGCTGTGCTTCTCTAACGGCCATATCAACAGTTACCACCACGATTTCCTTTCCTGACCGAAGACAAGCTAACGTACTAGGCGTTCAGAAGTAGTACTCCCCGGCAAACGGACGGAAGCACCTTGTCACTGGTAGCCTCAAAATATAAAATATCTTTAATGAGCATCACAATTTATAATCAAGGCAGAGCGCGAGAAGCCTTCATGCTTCCTCTTTTACTGAGAATAGCCCCTAACCTGCATCCCAAAACTTGCTTTTTCCAGCTATGAGGTTATGTTGGTCATTGGAAACTCCAAATATGTCTCACACTGGTAACGAACACCGCAGTCTTTTGTTGTTACCAAAGCCCAATTTATGGTTGCAACAACCTTGTTCATGTTCACCTCATCTCGGTTGGTTGCCTAACTTCGTTCACAAGACCACACAAAGTGCGCTCGAAGCTAAGCAGTTGTGGTATATGTGGCTTCTAATATACAGTTGGTCGACAGTACTGCAAGGATATCCCTCCCTTTCCGCAGAATGGGCGGTTGAAGTTTTCGAGTTTTCTACATCCGGCATTCCATATTAATTTCGGCAAACAACTCTCAACTTACTGGAATTTCTTCCGAAATTCATTGCCCATGTATCGAGAATTAGTTAGCAGGTCAATGGACAGCTGATTTACTTTCTTTGTGAGATCTACATATATTAAGTGTACTTTCAAGAACGACTTTAAAAACGTCCTCCCCAGAAAGCCGCTTGGGCACCAGTTTTCTTAATGGTCTATCCCTGATTTACGGCAAGCTGTCCTTCCATTTCCATAGTCATTGATGGCCTGAGACATCCGTTGTGTACTTGGCTGACTAGTGCATATTTCCCACGGTTCTTTGACGAATTTCCTTGTCGCCAATTTTTTAATTTTTTAGCAAGGACCTTGCGGAGAAGACAGTTATATCCAAAGTCAACGGCGTTCTGTGGGATCTTGAAAGACCGTTTGAAGGAAATGCATCCGTCGAATTCCTCGACTTTGATCATAAGGATGGTAATTCTTTTGATTTTGCGTTTTATATCAAGTTTATATAACTATTCTAAAAATTATAAAAAAAGGTCCGGTGCCTGCAGAAAAATAAACGATTTTGCGGGATAATTCGACGAAGAATTAAATGCTATGGATGTGGATACATTTCTTATAGGGTAGTGTATTGGCGTAACTTGTTCGATCCTTATTTTTATAAGGCCCTCACATAACGGGTTATAGCGGCGAACTATCGGCAGCCCGGAAAGGCATGCTGGCAAAAGCGAGTGTCAGTTTCTTCTTTGTCGTCGTCAGCCCTCCATTTTCTAAGACCAGGAAAACCGTAGATCTAAATCCGGACTCACCGCTCTGAGAGGGAGGGCGAAAAAAACCGGGGAGTACCTTTACGTTTCTCTCAACTAGCTTTTGCTTGTCTCTCCCGGATTGTGTGCTTTTTTTCAGGCCAGTACGTTTTTTGGCATTCCTCTGCTCACATTATGGGCGAGGCCATGGAGCGCATATACGGTGGCCATTTGTGCTACGGTCCTCCGCTTGAAGAAGGCTTCTACTACGATATGTGGACTGAGGGCAGGTAAGGTTATGCTCTGCCTATTTCTGATGTTAGATTCTTCTATCGCAAATCCCGTGCGGCTTCTTGATTGTCCACATGGTATGGGAGATCGTTAACTTGCCGGAACAGGTTGAGAGCATGAAAGCACATTAATGTGTTATTTCGCCCAATTGGTTAGCTAGTGAAGTGCCTGAGAACGAAGCCTTCTCAGGACAATCAGCCCTTACAGTTTCGATCAATCGTCGTTGCGTAACAGCGTTGGAACTTGAGAGGCACCATTCCCCCATTCCACCTGGTCTAAACAGTAAGCCTCAATTGTGGTTGTTAATTTTTCACAGTACTGTGAAACCGAGGGTTACGAGCAGCCCCATCTACGATTATTTCAGGTAGCGTATGAGCCACTAGCAGAAAACGTGTTTCGATTGACTAGCTTCTGTTCAGTTAACGAGTTGTCAGTGTATGTTTGGTGCCCCTGTGTCCGCCGTTGGGTCTTGCTCCCAGGGCCTGCGTCCTCGGTCGCCTGCAGCCAGTCAGTGAACTGATGTAGTTTGATTGACTACGTTTCACATGACGAACTCGGTGCCGGAACGGATTAAACTCATTAACCGAGGTTCCACTGTACTGCATCTTGTCCTCGCAGCGTATTACCTTTACAAATGCAATTAACCATGTGACTAACGGTTTTTTTGTCTCTTTATATTGCGCAGAATAATTTAATCTTTTTTGTATGTATCATTATTTGACGTACTGAATACACTTCACCGTCTCATTACTACGATATAACGGCGACAACTGGTGAAATTTTCGATTGACAATAGAGTGTTAATCTGCGCATGTCCCAGACTGTTCTACTATTACCTATAGTTAAGGATTCCCGAGGGAATCCGAAACGTCAGGACAGTAAACCTCTTGTTCCAGTGATAGCTTCTTCTTCTGCGAGTGTTTATAGTTGGCCACGTGGCAGGGCACCAGATTTGTGCCCAGGCCTGCCAAACTTGTCCACAACTTTACGATCTTGCACCACCACAAGCTAGGGCAACTTTTCAATACTAGGAGTTGGAAGAAACTGGAAATTTATCTATTAAGCCACGATAAGGAAAGCCATTGGATGAAATCACGAAAAAAAAGGTGGCAAAGAGAAAAAGAGGGGGCATACTTGTAAATCGCATACACGTTAGATAGTGAACCTTGTCAATACCATGCCCTCATCAAATAAAAGCGATCTGTCATCTAAGTAAAAACTTTTTTTTCAACAGGCAGGTTAAACCCGAGGAATATCCGGCAATTGACAAATTGTGTGTGAGCATTATCAAAGAAAAGCAGCCATTTGAGCGTTTGGAGGTGGCAAAAGAGGATCTCCTCAAGATGTTTGCTTATAACGAGTTCAAGGTTCGAATCTTGAATAAAAAAGTTACAACTCCGACTACAACGGTCTACAAATGCGGAACTCTGATCGATCTCTGTGTAGGCCCCCATGTCCGAAACACGGGTGAGTGATTGGTACTCATCGGTTTTGTTTTCTTCCTTGTTCGCAGCATTTGCTGCCGTAAATAACCAATCCCTTCAAACAGCCAGCCCCTGCCGATTCCCCAGCGGCGCTATCGAACTGGTTACTTAAGTTGTCAACACATCCTTACAACATCTCTACTCTGACTCTCAAAAACGTGTATTACCATTTTTTAGCGGTGCATTATACCATTTGTGACCGCCCAGATTTAATTGCTCTAAACTGACTACAGAATACAACACGGATAGGAAAATTGAGTTACTAGTTTAGGACCTTCAGTTTGAGCTAATGACTTCCTTAAAAATCACTAGCCAAAAGCCTTGAACACGGCACCGCAAGTAACAAAATTCATAGGTGTTCTCGGTTAATTGGTTATAGTGTATTTTTCAAATTTCGAATTTCCTGCGCGTTTGAGGCATGAGGCTAACTTCTCTCACTTCCATTCTTCTGCTTCTCACTCAGGTTGCGTAAAATCAATAGCTGTCACTAAGAGCAGTGCCTCCTATTGGGAAGGAAATGCTGAAGCGGAAAGTTTGCAGCGAATCTATGGCATCTCTTTCCCCACCGTGCAGGCAATGACGGATTGGAAGCACTTCCAGGTATCTAAATTTAGCTTTGCTTTTATTGTGCGTTGGCCGTTTTTGATTAGTGTGCCAGGGTGGCACAGGACACGGTTTTTCGCTAGTTTGTTCATCCAAGCTAGGGTAATCAATATACCATCTCCAACCCCCTGCTACAGCCAGTCACTTGACACATGAATTCATCAAATAACAAGATCCTACCAGCTCGCTTCCGGTGTTGCCGGGCCGTGTGCTGACAGTGTTATCATGCTGGAGAGAGAGAGACTGGCGTCAGCTGATTTATAGGTCTGTGGGAGCAACCTCAAGTGCGTCATACCCAAGTGATACTTTTTAGAGTGCCCGCGACATGGTATTTTGAGGTAGTCTGT